TCCACTGATTTCATCTATACTTCCCGCTGCCTCGAGAAAGCAGCCAACAGAATCAAAGACCCCTCCCACCCTGGGTATACTCTCTTCCACCCTCTTCCATGAGGCAAAAGATACAAAAATTTGCAAACGTGCACCAACAGACTCAAGAACAGCTCCTCCTCTGCTGTTATCAGACTTTTGAACTGACCTCTCAAATATTAAAGTTGATCTTTCTGAGCACTTCTTTGTAGCTGTAACACTATATTCTACATTCTGAGATAACAAGGTGTAGAGATGGATGAACACAGCAGGCCAAGCAGCATCAGAGGAGCAGGAAAGCTGATGTTTCGGGTCTAGACCCTTCTCCAGAAATGGGGGAGGGGTAGGGGATTCTGAAATAGATAGGGAGAAAGGGGGAGTCGGATAGAACATGGATAAAGGAGAAGATAGGTGGAGAAGAGACAGACAGTTCAAGGAGGCAGGGTTGGAGCCAGTAAAGGTGAGTGTAGGTGGGGAGTTAGGGAGGGGACAGGTCGGTCCAGGGAGGATGGACAGGTCAAGGAGGCGGGATGAGGCTAGTAGGTAGGAGGTCGGGGTGGGGCTTGAGGTGGGAGGAGTGGATAGGTGGGAGGACAGGTTAGGGAGGCGGGTATGAGCTGGGCTGGTTTTGGGAAGCGGTCGGGGGAGGGGAGATTTTGAAGCTTGTGAAGTCCACATTGATACCATTGGGCTGCCGGGTTCCCAAGCGGAATTTGAGTTGCTGTTCCTGCAACCTTCGGGTGGCATTGTTGTGGCATTGCAGGAGGCCCAGGATGGACATGTCGTCCAAGGAGTGGGAGAGGGCGTTGAAATGGTTTGCGACTGGGAGGTGCAGTTGTTTGTTGCAAACCGAGCGTAGGTGTTCCACAAAGTGGTCCCCAAGCCTCCGCTTGGTTTCCCTGATGTAGAGGAGGCCACAAGAGGAACAGCGGATACAGTATACTGCATTAGCAGATGTGCAGGTGAACATCTGTTTGATGTGGAAGGTCTTCTTAGGGCCTGGGATGGGGGTGAGGGGGGAGGTGTAGGGGCAGGTGTAGCACTTTCTGCGATTGCAGGGAAAAGTGCCAGGTGTGGTGGGGCTGGAGGGGAGTGTGGAGCAGACAAGGGAGTCACGGAGAGAGTGGTCCCTCTGGAAAGCAGATAAGGGTGGGGAGGGAAAAATGTCTTTGGTGGCGGGGTCAGATTTCAGATGGCAGAAGTATCAGAGGATGATGTGTTGGATCCGGAGGTTGGTGGGGTGGTACGTGAGGACGAGGGGGATTCTGTTTTGGTTGTTAGGGATGAGTTGTGGGAAATGCGAGAGACACGGTCGAGGGCGTTTTCGACCACCGTGGAGGGGATGTTGCAGTCCTTGAAAAACCAGGACATCTGGGATGTCCGGGAGCGGAATGCCTCATCTCAGGAGCAGATGTGGCGGAGGCGAAGGAATTGGGAATAGGGGATGGCCTTTTTGCAGGAAGGTGGGTGAAAGGAGGTGTACTCTAGGTAGCTGTGGGAGTCAGTAGGCTTGAAATGGATATCGGTTTCCAGGTGGTTGCCAGAGATGGAAACAGAGTGGTCCAGGAAGGAGAGAGAGGTATCGGAGATGGTCCAGGTGAACTTAAGGTTGGGGTGGAAGGTGTTAGTGAAGTTTATGAACTGTTCGAGCTCCTTGTGGGAGCACGAGGCAGCGCCGATACAGTTGTTGATGTAACGGAGGAAGAGGTGGGGGATAGGGCCAGTGTAGCTTCGGAAGAGGGACTGTTCCACATATCCTACATTCTGTTCTATTACCCTGATGTAGTAATGTATGGTTTGATTTGTCTGGGTAGCATGCAAAACAATACTTTTCCCTGTATTTCAGTACGTAACAGTAATAAAATAAAAACCAAGAAGGTTAATTATTACATTTACTGATATTTCAGTCATATACTATTAAAATAACTGCTATAAAATACAAATTTTCTTCTATTTAGTAAGTGTCTGAGCAAAGCTACCTGCTTTTATTTGGAAAGAATTTCATCCAACCCAATGTAGCTTTGCTTAATTTAGATTAACTGGTTAGGAACTCCATTAACTCCTCTAAACAAGCTATTTCACAGTTAAACATTGTCCTGAGGGTCAGAAGGAGATGAGATTCCATTTGAGTTGAATTAGTTTACTTAGCAGAACCCAGTTACTCTCTGACACGAGCTAAATTATACAGTATGTATATTTAATTCAAATGAATGTCATCCCATTTCACTTTAGAAAGAGTATAACTTTGCAGCATATTAAAGTTCACTGCAAGTAACACAACAGTAGCCAGTTTGAGTGTGCAAGATCTTGCACTTCAATATTTTAATCGATGAAAACAAAATTGAGTTATTTTTAAGGAGGGAATATTTAAACATGTTCTGAAAAACAGTTGTTTAAATCATAACATAATTAATAGTGTGGTTCATTGTTATTGAATTTTTATGGCTACTGAATTGAGAATTAAAGTTCTGACTACCTTTGATGATAGAAAGCAAGTACAAGGACCCTCTTGTGATGCAGTGGTAGTGTCCCTGCTCCTGGACTGAGAGACCTGGGTTCAAGTCCGACCTGCTCCAGAGGTGTGTTATAACATCTCTGAACAGGTTGATTAGAAAAATAGGTTTTAATAAAAAAGAAAGCAATTGCAATTATCCACTGGGAAGTGGTTTGTTTAATAGCCTAGATTTTGCTTTGATCGTGACAGTGAAACGGTTAAAATTTATCATCATTACTCCAGTGAAATTGACGGCAAATTTGGGAGTCTGCACATATGTGAAAGTAAGCCAAAATCCAGAAGTCACTTTCAATGAGTTTATGCACTTCAATAGGGTGCACTGTAGAAGTTCCTGCAGACTGTGATCTCCATTACACTCAACACTTATGAAAACCTACACTCCTATGCTATTGTTAACACTGTAAAAATCCTTCAAAATGTCACACATTGCTGAGTGAGGTGTAACTAGGCTTTTAACAATTTTAATTCCATAATTACTACGAAATACCCTCACTAGCCGTAAAAGCTAATTTATATTTGAAAAAGTTATACATTTCCATAATAAAAAAATCCATTTTAAAAAACATGAAGCTGCTCTTTTTTGCAAAATATTATTTGTATGTGGATCAGAATGGAAGCTAAATTAAAGATGAACATAATTTATTTCACAGTCTGTAAATGTAAATAAAAAGTGAAGGATTTCGGTGTTTTAACTTCCTGGCTTGCTGTGTATGAATAGACCTTGATGTGATTGACTGTTAAGCTTGCTTGCTGATATCATAACTGCTGCACAACAAGGCACCCCCTTGAACTGGTTCTGGATTTTGATCTCAATTAAGCTACAGCACCAAGATAACTAGATCTTTGTGGCAGCTTCTTTCAGAATCAGTGGTGAGGCACTTGCTTCATTGTCAACTGCAAAATGGTATATTATTTTCTAACAGTGATTGGTAGAGGTTGTATTAATGAAATTATTTCAAATGTTTAAAACAGTTAGTTTGTTAAAGTTTGATTTTGTGTATTTTTGTGGTTGGTTGGCTCGGCGAGGGGTTTTGTTGTTCCAGAGACTTTTTATTACCCTGCTGGGTAACATCATGAGTGCAGCCTCCGATGAAGCGCCGTTGTGTTTTCCCACCTGTTATTTAAACTCTGGTGTCTGTTGAGGTACCTCCCTTCAGGTTTTCCTTTGCAGTAGAGTATATATAGAGTATAGCTCTGTGTTTGTTGATGGCCTTCTTAGTGGACAACCAGGCCTCTAGGAATTCCCGTGCTTCTCTCTGCTTGGCCTGTCCCAGGATCCTGGTGTTGTCCCAATCAAACTGGTGGTTTTCCTTATCCATGTGGATGGAGATGAGTGAGTATTGGTCGTGTCTTTTTGTTGCTAGTTGATGTTCATGTGCTCTTATGGATAAGTTTCTTCCTATCTGTCCAATGTAATGTTTGTTACAATCTTTGCAGGGAATCTTGTATGTTATGTTGGTCCTGTCCATAGTGGGTAATGGGTCTTTGGTTGCAGTTGGCATAGAGTTGATGTGGGTTTGTGTGCTACTCTGATGCCCAGTGGTTGTAGGAATCTTGTGGTCAGTTCAGATGTGCTCTTGATGTAAGGTAGCGTGATGAGTGCATCGGGGCATTCAATATCTTCCTAGTGTCGTTTGTGTAATAGGCAACTTCTAACCCAGATTTTTGGGTATCTGTTGGCCTTGAATACTTGGAGGAGGTACTCATCTTCTTTTTGGCATAGTTCTGTGTTGCTGCAGTGTGTTGTTGCCTGTTTAAATAGAGTTTTCGTGCAACTTCATTTATGTGTGTTAGGGTGATTGCTGTTGAAATTCAGTACTTGTTCAGTGTGTGTAGCTTTCCTGTGTACCTTTGTTAGGAATTCCCTGTTGGTCCTGCGTTCCACCAGGACGTCAAGGAATGGGAGCTGTTTGTTATTTTCCTCTTCCTTGGTGAATCTGATCCCAGTGAGAGTGTTGCTTATTAGTTTGTGTGTCTCTGCACTGATGATGTTACCCAGGAGGGTAATGAAATGTCTGCGGAACAACAATGAACCAGCTCGGTGAGCCAACCAACCACAACATCCACAACCCGCGCTACAAATCTACTCAAAAACTTTATGTATTTTTCATACATAACATATAAGCTTGATAAAGGGAATGGTTTTGTTGTTATTGAATTTGGGCATGCTGTAATTTTTGACTGTCATTACACAGAAAAACGAAAAAGAAGAAATTTATCATGTTAAATTGATAGAAAATTGGGAAAGCTCCCTTGATTCTCCTGGGAAGCTTTCCTCTCTGTGTGACATCCAGAAGATCCAATGTGCAAAAAACATATGATGGTGCATTGTATATCCAAACATACAGTGGAAGAGGTTGACACATCATCTGAAAAACTAGAAACCAATAAAATGTTAAGCCATAGCACTATATTTGTATTTTGGATGCAATAAGTGTCTGATTTTCTCTCATTCATGTTTTTCCAGGGGTAGCCTTTTGACCCGTACCTTAGCAGACATTGTAAATAAGGAAGATTTTGTGTTAGATTCAGAATATCTCACCACTCTTCTGGCTTTTGTCCCAAAGTAAGTTCCCTGCCTGGTGTGAGTTGGTGCATTTAAGCCTTGATTATCCTGTAACGTGCTTTTATAATGAGCTCTTCTTTGTGTTGCCCTTATGATGCATTAGGTCCAATTACCTTAACTGGCAAAAGACATACGAGTCTCTCTCTGACATGGTGGTTCCTCGATCAACCAAGTAAGTTGAGAAAGAATAATTTGGTTACATTGAAATATGTGAATTGTAGTTTGAGGAACCTTGTTAATCCAATCATTTTCCATCTAATTTTTCTTAACAAAATGTATGAATTATTATAAGAATCTAGGATTGGAAGTGGTGATGCAAAGTCATCAAATTATGTCTATAGGGTAGTAAGATATGGTGTAATTGTACATTCAGTTCAGATCACTGTAGTACTATTCTGTGAGATCAACACTGTGAAGTTTATGGGAACTTGGGGTAGGAAGAGTAGCACTCAGGAATTCCAGAATTATGGGCCTCCCAGAGAGTCTGCTGAATCGAACACAGGACATGATTTAACTTTTTTACTTCACATTGAAGGCTGACTGGCAGATGGGCAGGCAGGGAGTGGCAAGGAGGGGAAGGAGTGTCATTGTGGGGGGGGGGGTTGGCAACACCGGGGTTGGGGTGTTGCTGCTTGTGGTGAAGCAGAAAGGAGATTGTGGGTGAGTGGAGAATACATGGAAAAATATACAGGGGATGGGGGACATCGACAGATCAAGCTTCGGTGTTGATGGAAGGGTGATTGGGTTAAGAGGAGATTGGGGCATATGATTGCAAGCCTGGGTGGTTCTGATCAAAGGGGTTGATGTGATTTTAGCAAGGCATTTCTGATTATGTGGATGGAAGTGTTCAGCTTGTTTGGCTGGGCAGAAGCTGTTCCAGCAGCAGTAAGACTACTGTTTGCACTTTCCTCCACCTGTCAGCTTTCCCAGGCCCCGGAGACCCGGCCTGCAGTTCGCACATTTGAAATTCTCCTAAAATCAGAGACGGGCAGCTTAATTAAAATCTTTAAATAGCATGGCTTTCTTGAGATAAGGTTAATCACTCTCCCCCAACATGCCTTTGTGAAAATCAGGTGTTGGTGCCTAGCTGGCTGTTTTCCCAAGCCTCTCCCACCCTTTGTTAAAAGGGAAGTGGACTAAAATCGAGTCATATGTTCAAATAATTCACAGAAGAGAACAAAGCAAAGGTATAAGTAATGTTTCAGTTGAAACCTTCCCCTAACAATCATTGACTAAGAAGCTGTTTCTGTCCTTTATTTGGTTTAATCTCTGATCCAAATGCCAGTATTAACGTCCAGCGGCTGTTCATATATTTAAGTCTGTTGGATATTGCTAAAGTGAAGAATAATCAGCATGATAGGTCACAGATTTACCATTGATGGTAAATCATTGAAAATTATGGATAGAAAAGTCTTGGTTTGAGCTAAAAATCATATTAAATGCTGTTTTTCATTTATCTTCCTGTCATGAAATATCTGCTTGTAATTATTTAATTTTATGAAACCAATTGCAAACAACAAAAAATCAAAGAACACTTCGGCAAGCATATCACAAAATGTGACCTATTTATGCAAGCTGACAATACTGCCAGACAGGAACAATTAACTATAAAAACTGCATTATCGTGTGCACTTTAGCTACTGAGTAGTGGAATTTTCCCTTCATGCATTATGAATGAAAGGAAATTTCCAGACAAGTTGAACATATGAACCATTAAAAAAAGCCTGAGAATCATAAATATGAGTTTGATTTTTCTTCACATTTTTAGTCCATTCATTGCGAAAACCACCCTTTCATTAATATTCCAAAAATCGGTTGTTGCAGTTCCTAAAAATAATAGACCAGGTTTCTCTGTTGAAATGACAGTAATGCTGGGACAAACATTTAGTGAGCAGCAGCTACCTGGTACTTGCTTTGGGGTACAGGTCAGGAATTTGCACCATCTAGTTTCTCAAGGAGTGAGAGGAGAATTAGAAATGGTACATAAATAGGGTGAGTGGGGGCTTTAATCCGATGCAAGTAAGTAGAAGCAAAGTAGTCACAGCTCAAACAGAGAAAGTGAGAACTGCCGATGCTGGAGTCAGAAATGGTGAGATTCTGAAATAGTATTTCAGGCTTCAGGAGAAAATTGCAAACATTTTTCTCCATGTTGCGATTTCGATTTTTTTTCATTCTCTGTATTTTCCCACCTTTCCCTCCGATGCTCACATCATCCCAGTCGGGGAAATTCCCACCCATACAAAAAGATCATTGTCCAAAGGTAATATTCCATGTTTCCCACGTTACCATAAATATTGGCACAGACTTTGCTGTAGCTGGGCATCTGAAGAGATCTGACATTAATTAGACTTGTTAGTGCATACCTTGCTTTAAAGTTCTTTGTATGGAAAACTACTCAAGTTTAACTCATAATGGTGCCAAGGTGGAATGATGTAGATCACTGCCATAAAAAGCCTTGCATTTAGTGTACTATTGTTCACTGCCTGACTTTCCAAATTTTATCACAGAGATAGTAAAAGGAAATGAAAATAAAGATTTAAAAATCATCAGTGGCTGAAATACTGAGTTAAAAGTTAAATGCTGAAGAGAGGTTAGAACAGGTAAAAAGCAATATTTAATGTGTTTAATCTTGTCACCTGCTTGAGTTGTAGTGGTTTGAATTACCATTACTGCTTGGCAAAGAGGTCTTGTTATGGACCGGACCAGGCCAGACCCCCTCAAAATGCTTTAAGAATGTAGCCTAGACCCTAACTTTCTCTTATTTTAAAGGTAGATGTGAAGTGGATGTTCCAGGTGTGATGTAACTGGCCAAACTACTTCGGTTCAAGCAAAACAGAATGTATTTAAACACTACAGTTGAAAGAAGAACAAAAGAAAGCAGAATTTAGAATAACTTAACTATTGGAAAACTTAACCGACCCAAAACAGCAACTTAACTAATTAACTGTTCCAATATAGTAACATCCCATAAACACACCTCTTGGCAAAAAGGCAAATTCAAACAGATTCTTACAGGCAAAAGGGAACTACATCCAAAGAGATTTCAGAGAAAGTCAGTTATGAATCCTTTACTGAAGCTTGCAACCTTTCTGGCACTCAAAACATCTTTTGTCTGCTAAAGCCAAAAAAAACTAGAAAACCCTGAACTGGAAGCACTGGCCACACCCCTTCCATTCTTAAACTGTTTTAGTTTTGTGGCTGCCTAAACTCTTCAGCGCCTCTGCCTTTACAACCTCTCTTCAAAAAAAAACCCAGGACAAAATAACCTTTTTACAGAAGCAGCATTGTCACAGTCTTAAGAGTTAACATGCCATTTACTTAGAACCAAATACTCTTGTTTTTTTGGAGTTTGCTATCATTGATACAGATGAGGAAGATGGATCTGCCCAGGCTATTTAATATGATTTTAATTCAAGTATCCTTTGTGAATGGATGTGGCATCTTGTTTCATTGGAGCTAGACTCTGGTAAAATATTGTAATGAATTTCCTAAAAATAAATACCAAGCCAAAGCTCCCAAAATTCACATATTGTACAATTAAACAACGTACTGCATCATCGACAACTCAATAACAATGGTTGTGGCATAAATCTACTTAAATGCACTTACAACTTAAATGTTGTAAATTGACTTATCAGGGTAAAATGTGAATTATAAGTGGCATTAGATTTTCTCTCAGCATGTGTAAACTTCCACATCTGTATGTTCTGTTTTGAATAATCTATTTGAAATCACACACTGGAAGTTTCTGTAAAGTAAATTCACAAACCTTTCTGATGCACAGAATGATCATAGAAGACACAGAGGGAGCCCTCTTTACAGTAACTCTCTTTAAGAAAACCGTGGATGAGTTCAAAATCAGAGCCAGAGAAAACAAGTAAGTTTGAAAGCGTTTTAAATGATCCTGTTGTTCATATTTTGAGTTTTCTTCCTTTCAAATTGGAATAGATGATTGAATCATAAGCTTGTGACCAAAAATACAAAGAGACTGATTTTCACTTTTATAAGCCCCCCCAGTTCATTCAATAAGGTTTTCTTTTAATTCTTCTGATGCCTCAGCAGTTAGTACAGTGTGTGTCTGGGAACTCGTGCTACACATGCTGAAGAAACAGCAACAATTTATTCTCATATTTAGAAACAAACACATTCAGACATTGAATACAGAGGATAATTTCAAAGTTGTGGGTGATATGAAACTTGGAGGAATTGTAAACAGTGAACAGGACAGCATAGAAATTCATGAGGACATTGACAAGTTGGTGGAGTATGTAGATAGGCGGTGATAAAGCTCAATGCTGAGAAGGGTAAGCTGATTTAGGTAGGAAAAATGTGGATGGACCTGGGTGTATACAAAGTCAGATGTCACACGACACCAGGTTATATTTGAAATCACAAGCATTCGGAGCACTGCTCCTTTGTCAGGTGAAGTTTCAAGGTGATAGCGTTAAAACAAGACAGGAAGATTTTACCTTACATGTAACGCGACATGAGCCAAAGATCACGGTTGAGGCCGTCTACATGGGTACGGAACTTGGCAATCAGTTTCTGCTCGGCAATTCTGCCTTGTTTGTATCTCACCTTGGAGACGTTTATCAGAAGATCGGAGGCTGAATGCCCTTGGCTGCTGAAGTGCTCCCCGACTGGGAGGGAACGTCCCTGCCTGGCAATTGTTGCGCGGTGTCCATTCATCCGTTGTCATAGTGTCTGCATGGTCGCACCAATATACCATGCCTCGGGGCATCCTTGCCTGTAGGGTATGAGGTAGACAACATTGGCCGAGTCGCATGAGTATCTGCCGTGCACGTGGTGGGTGGTGTTCCCACGTGTAATGGTTGTATCTATGTCTTGCAGAGGTTGCCATGACAGGGTTGTACGGTGTTGTGGTTGATGTTGTCCCGAAGGCTGGGTAGTTTGCTGCAAATGATGGTCTGTTTAAGGTTTGGAAGTTGTTTGACGGTGAGAAGTGGGGGATAAGGATTATCTTAGTGAAATGTTTGTTGTTATCGATGACACGTTGAAGGTTGCAAAGAACATGGCATAGTTTCTGTGCTCTGGGAAAGTTACTGGACGATGAAGTGTACTCTATCAGTCATATCCTGTGTCTTTCTTCCGAGGAGGTCTTTTTTGATTTTTCGCTGTGGCACATCAGAACTCGCGATTGATGAGTTGAGCATCGTATCCTGTTCTTATGAGAGTGTCTTTCAGCATCTTTAGGTGACCATTGCATTCCTCCTCCTCTGAGCAGATCCTGTGTATATACAGAGCTTGTCCATAGGTGATGTTTTCTTTAACATGTTTAGGGTGGAAGCTGGAGAAGTGCAGTATGCATTTGTGGGCTTGCGGTAGAGTGAGATGCTGAAGTGTTGGTCCCTGATGGAGGTGCGTGTGTCCAAGAATGAGACTGATTCTGAAGAATAGCCCATGGTAAGTCTGATGATGGGATGAAACTTGTTAATATTGTTGTGTAGTCATTTCAGTGATTCCTTGCCATGAATCCAGAGGAAGGAAATGTCATTGATGTGTCTGGTGTATAGTGTTGGTTGGAGGTCCTGTGCGTAAAGAAGTCTTGCTCGAACTTGTGCATGAAAATGTTTGGCATATTGTGATACAATCCCCATGGCTGTTCTGTGTGTCTGGATGAAGAACTGGTTGTTGAAGGTGAAAACATTGTGGTTGAGGATGAAATGGATGAGTTGTAGGATTGAGTCTGGAAATTGGCAGTTGGTGGTATTGAGTAGTGAGGCTGTTGCAGCGATGTCATCATCATTGGGAATGCTGGTGTAGAATGCCGAAACGTCCATTCTGGTGAGGAATGTTCCTGGTTCGACTGGTCCATGGGTACTGAGTTTCTGTGAGAAATCTGTAGTGCCATGTAGGGCTCCTTGTACAATGGGTTTCAAGATGCCCTTGACATAGCCAGAGAGGTTCTCACACAGGGTCCCATTGCCTGATACGATAGGATGCCCAGGTGTGTTGGCTTTGTGAATCTTTGGAAGGCAGTAGAAGTCTCCAATCCGAGAAGTACGTGGGATGAGAGTGCATAGGATACTCTGAAGGTCTGGATCAAAGGTCTTGATCAGTCTGTTGAGTTGATGGGTGTGTTCTTTGGTCAGATCGTTAGGTAGTTGCCTGTAGTGTTCCTGATTGTTCAGCTGTCGGTATGCTTCTTTGACTTGAGTGCGTTCATGATCTGTAGTCCTTTCGGGACTTTCTCTGCTTTCTTGCATCTCTGCAGAAACTTATGTCTGTGTCGATATGTGTGATCTTCTTGGAGATCCTCTCTACTTTGAGCAGGCAGATTGTGGTGTTGATGGTAAACATGATGTGGAGCTGGTGTTGGACAGGGTGGACAAAGTCAGAAGTCACACGACACCAAAGGAGGATGAACAGTAGTCTGTTCTATGCTGTACGACAATGGCTCCTCCTTTCTCTGCTGGTTTAGAGGCGATGTTGCAATTGAGAGCCTGGGTGGCGTTGTGTTGTGCTTGGCTGACATTCTGCACTATTTTGTGAGCATGGCTGATGAATCTGGCATTAACAAATCTCCTGACAGCTTGAGCATATATATACAGCCTGCGGCAGTGGCCTTCTGGAGGGGTCTAGTTTGACTGTTTCTTCTTTGGCTGCTCAACCATGAATCATTCTGTTAACTGTTCCAGTTGTGTCATTGACCTCTCTGTTGACAATCTTGGAGTTTGCGGAACATTTCCAAGAGCTTCTTTCGCCTGATGAATTCCTCTGTGTCTGCTGCGAGACGAATGGGGTCCATTTTGGTGGTGGGGCAGAAATCGAGCCCTTGGCTGAGAACTTCAATTTTGTCTGGTTGAAGGGTATGGTCAGTCAAGTTGACGATGGATTTCCCTGTGGTGGTACTGATTTCAACTGTGGTACCAGGGGAGGCTTGGTTACTGCTGGTGGTGATGCCAAGTTCCTCCAGTTTCTTGTTCTTGGTGTGCATGTAGGTTGGATAGTTCCATTGCATCATCTGCTTGGCAGTGTCTTGGAGATGGTCTGCTGTATCCTGAGTGCAAGCTGAGAATTTGGACTCTTATCTTGATTTCAAGTTTGCAGCATTTGCTGTAGAGTTGGTGTATGAGATGATTGAGGAGTGTGCGAGAGGTGCGATGGCAGAGTCTCTCAGTGTAATCTGTGTTGTAGGTTGACTTGAGTGCGTTCATGATCTGTAGTCCTTTCAGGACCATCTCTGCAGAAACTTATGTCTGTGTCAATATGTGTGATCTTCTTGGAGATCCTCTCCACTTTGAGCAGGCAGATTGTGGTGTCGATGGTAAACATGATGTGGAGCCGGTGTTGGACAGGGGTGGACAAGGTCAGAAGTCACACGACACCAAAGGAGCATGAACATGACAGGCACCTAAAGATGCTGAAAGACGCCCACATAAGAACAGGATACGATGCTTAACTCATTGATCGCCAGTTCCGACGCACCAAAATGAAAAATCACAACGACCTCCTTAGAAGGCAGACACGGGACATGACCGACAGTGTACACTTCATCGTCCATTGTTTCCCCAGAAGGGAAAAACGAGGCCATGTTCTTCACAGCCTTCACCATGTCATCGATGATGTCTCACCATGTCTCACCAAATTCATCCCTTCGCCCCTAATTCTCATCTACAAACAACCACCAAATCTTAAACAGACCATCATGCGCAGTAAGCTACTCAGCCATCAGGACAACATCGACCACAACACCACACAACCCTGCCAAGGCAATCTCTGCAAGACATGTTAGATCATTGACATGGACACTACCATCACACGTGGGAACATCACCCACCACGTACATGGCAGATATTCATGTGACTCGGCCAATATTTTCTATCTCATACGCTGCAGGCAAGGATGCCCTGAGCCACGGTATATTGGCAAGATCATGCAGACGCTACAACAGATGAATGGACACTGTGCAACAGTCGCTAGACAGGGATGTTCACTCCCCGTGGGGAACACTTGAGCGGTCAAGGGGGCATTCGGCCTTAGATTTTCGGGTAAGCATCCTCCAAGGCTAGATACACAACAACGCAGAATTGCTGAGCAAAAACTGATAGCCAAGTTCCATACTCATGTAGACAGCTTTAACAGAGATCTTGGGTTTATGTCACACTACATGTAACCCTTCCACACTGTTCTGTATTTGTAAACTCTTGTTTTAACACCATATCTACTTTAATTAGTTTATACAGTTTTAGATTACTTGCTACTTTGGTTTGACCCTCGGCATGCGACTGTTATACTTAATCATGTTATTCCAGCCATTTGGTTTGTCTCCAGCACTACCTCGCTTGAATTTTTTGTAATTATCTCTCTGCCTCAATTAATTGGATTATAGGTCATCCCCTTCACTTACTATTTAGATGTTGACATTTTACTCACACTATCTGATATCTACAGTGACTTATTACTCATTCAGTCGACACTCCATTTACACCATTTGTATGATCTTTTGATCTCTCTGCCCATTGATCTCTCTGCCTATAAATTCTGTGCCTGTATGCATGTCTTCACTTCACCTGATGAAGGTGCAGCACTCCAAAAACTTGTGATTTCAAATATAACCTGGTGTCAGCCTATAACCTGGTGTCAAGTGACTTCTGACCTTGTCCAGCCCAGTCCAACACCGGTACCTCCACGTCATGGGTGTATATATACTCAGATCATTGAATTGATGAGGCAGGTGGCTAGAACAGTAAGCAAACCATGCAGAACCCTGGTATTAATTAATAGGGTCATTGTGTGTAAGAGTTGGGAAGTTATGTTGAACTTGTACAAACACTTATTAGACACCAACTGGAGTCTTGTGTGCTGTCCTAGGAAGTGAACACATTGGAGAGGTTTACCATAATAGTTTAAGGGATGAGAAACTTCATTTATGAGTATAAATTGGAGAAGTTGGGACTATTATCTTCAGAGAGAAAAGGTTAAGAAGTGATTTGATAAAAGTTATCAAAATCATGAGAGATCTGGATAGGGTAGATAGAGGGAAACTGTTCCTGTTTGTAAAAGGATCAGGAATGAGAGAGCTCAGATGTAAAGTGATTTGCAAATGTGGCAAATCTGATGTGAGAGAAACCTTTTCACACAAAGAATCGTTCGACCACCGATCTGCCCAAACCATTTTCCCTATGTCCTTCTAAAGTTCTACACCATTCTCCTCACAGTTTACAATTCTGCCAAGTTTTGTATCATCTGTATATTTTGAAATTATCCCTGTATTCAATATCTGATTATGTTTGTTTCTGAACATCAAAAGAAATTGTCATTCATATTTGCTATCTGGAATGCAGTGCCTGGAAGTGCCCTGGAGCCAGTTTCAATTGAGGCAAGCAAAAGGGCATTGGATGATTGTTTGCTTAGAAACAATAGGCAAAGGAAAATGGCACTAAGTCATAATGTTCTTTGGCTAGCTGGTAAAATCATGATGGACCAAATGGCCTCCTCCTGTGCCTTAACACTTTAGTGATTTTGAACAAGCTGCAGTTTCCTACCCCTTGCAAGTGATGCAGATGAAAAGTAATAAAATTTACCCCAAACCGTTCTCTGCCATATGTGTGCTATGTGGAAATGTGCCACAAGACTGAAACTGGCACAAAAAAGACACTAGTAGTTTCAGTTGATGAGTTACTTGTTTCAGAATGATGCATTAAAAAGGAGCAAACTATTGGAATTAATGCTTTAATTTGCGTATGGCAGCACCAGTAATTAAGCTATAATAGGCAAAGGCAGACACACAATCAACAAAGGAATGGATCAGAATTATCAAATTAAATGTGGAAATCCAATATGACACAAAAGAAAACAATAATCAGTTTCCTGTGGTCCACTGTACACAACAAAATTTTTCATATAGTACTTGCTGTTCAACAGAATCCACAGCAAGAAAATATTGTGTTTTACTTGAAACAAGGAAGCAACTGTGTTCAAGCAACATAGCAACATTATTGAGACTTAACCAAATCTTCTTTTATGGCTGTATACAATTATCTTCCATTTTACTTTTTTTCAGAAATCTTACTGTATTAGGTTACTGCATGAAACTATTTAAACCTTTGTCTTTAGTTATCTTTCTGGGAAGGTGATACCCTGTTGACACTAGTCAATCAATTTGGGACGGAGATCTATCTATATCCGTGAGACTTGGTCTGAATCTCACAGGAGTGTTAGGAATCCAATGTCTGATCAATATCCGATTCCCAATCTTACCACTGTGGTGCATCTGTTGGTTTTTTTTACAGCAGGCAGAAAATTAGAAGGCTGTGTCTACATTTGCCATGAATTAATGGAGGCAGGTGGGCACTAGAGTCAAAGGATGCAGAAGGTGGGGCCAACTGTAAAGAAGGCTTGTGGCCCCCATTCTGCTAGGTGTGGGAGTGCAGGCAAGGATGAATGTCAGTGAAGCAGTGCCATTAACATCAGACAAGTGACTGAAGCCTCACAATTCCGTCTCCTGGAATTCCACATTCACTGGCATGCCTGTAAATTAAGAAGATAGAGGCCACATTCTTTCCGCCAGAAATGTTTAAATGTTTAATTTGCAATGCAACCTCCATCTTCCACTATGCATCTGCCTCCTTTTACTTGCTGGGCAATAGATACAGCAAAGAGGTCTGTGCAATACGGTCAGAGCATAATAAAGATCTAAAACACATAAAAAACCTCATTGCTTCTACGCCAGTCAGAAACAACCACTTATCTACTCTAATCTTATTTCTAGCACTTGGCCCGTAGCCTTGTAAGCTTTGGCAGCACATCTAAATACTTTTTAAATGTTGTGCGAGTTTCTGCCTCTACCATCCTTATGGGTAGTGAGTTTCAGATTCCTTTCACCCTCTGGGTGAAAATGTTTATCCCCACATCATGGAGTAATGTTGGAATAATTATTGTGCTACTACAGTTAGTGCCATCAAAGACTCTTTAATTGGGTTTATTGAATTCCTGACTTCGCCAGGCAACAATCCTTCATATCTAAGAAGCTGGCTCAGGAAATATTGAAAAGAGGTGGCACCATCAGGCAACCATTATTTCCACCCAGTAGAGTGAATTTGCCATCCTGTCTTTCACCAAAGCTGCCAACAGTTCCCTGGGAAATTTCCCCCGACTGAATATGTCAAACAGACTTACTTAAGGGATTCTTTTGGCTGAGTTCATGTCAGCATATATGCCCAGCACAACTCTTTAAGGTGGAAAGTTCCATGAAGGAGTTCTGTAAGTCGAGAATTCTCAGTAACAAATCTTGAAGAACTTGCGTCTTTAAAAAGCTAGCATCTTTAAAAAGACTGCATGGTAGAATTTTATCTGTACTACCTGCACGTGGCAATTCAATGAGAGGGTTTTACCATCATTTATGTTAGTGTTTCTCAAGCTATTTATGGTTGAACAGCTCCTTTTAATAAACATAATTATCATGAACTCCATGCATGCTATGGTACTATACAGTCCCACAATGTGAAAGAGCTGCAATATTATGTCTTAATAATAGAATAGGTATTTGCTGACACATATCAGTGAGATAAAAATTCTTACTTCCAAAATCAGTCTACCCTATATGATGCTTCAAAACAACACTTCTAAATCATTCTACATGAAGGACAATGTTGATTTTTGCAGGGAAAAGTGAAAGGGATTGCAGAATGTGGTTCTCGCAAAAGATGCATTAACATTCCAACTAATTAAAAACAGAATTTGACTTATTCAGCCTGGTAAATCAGTGGTCCTACAGAACACCAGGAGACCAAATGGAGGGTCATTTGAGACTAATTTGACAGTGCCAGTGCAAGAGGCAGCAGACACTGTTATCCTATGCCGCATCACTCTGTAAGGACTTTTAGCCAAAATGCTCAGTATTTTAAGCAGCAGCAGGCAGTCTTGGTGATTAGCTGGTGACAAAATAAGATCCAGACCCTGACCTGTCTGTGTGGCTCAGTAAACAATTTCACATTATTTCACAGCTCCCCCGGTAAGTCTCCACAGACCCCAATGAGAACCACTGCTTTATATCATCTGCTTGATTTTCATCCCAGTGTTTTCAACGGAAATATATTGATTTCCTTAATAGGTGGGCAACCCACTCTGCCAATTACAGATCAAGTGGTTGAGATGCAAATCTATCCCCTGTTCCTTTCACAATGAAATTATTACTTGAATTCAAATACAACTCGCAGCAGAGTTTTTTCTAAAAATTGTTCTCTGCAAGGTTTATAGTCCGTGAATTTAACTACAGTGAAGAGGAGTTGCATGCTGAGAAGGAAGAAATGACAAGGCTAAGTGCAGACAAGAAACAACAGTATGTAAGTACTGTCATCCTATCAGAAACATCAGATATTCATAACTTGAGAATTTCATTTATTTATGGTGCACTTTTAGTAGATTTAATGCAATGCTATTCATTAAAATACTGCATGTTGTCACGAGGTATAGAAAACAATTGATACAACGATATGTTACAATTCATGAAACATGTGCTAATTTTAAAATAGTTTCACCAAATTCTAACCAAAAGCAATACGATCTCTATTATCCAGTGTATAATAAATTTACTTGTTCCATAATAATTTTCATGTTATTAAGGGTCACAATTTGGATCTTGCAATCTGAAGGGAAAATGATACATGCTCAAGTGTTAAACAAGTATCAGACATATATATATAGGCAAAGTATCAATGAATATAGATGTAACAGACTCTAAGAGACATTAAACATATAATTGGTTTACGCTGTCCAATGGGGATCTCAAGTTCATGAATAAACATATTTCTGGTGGATAACATGGGGTTGGAAACATTATCAGGAAATTCTGCTGGAGAGCTCCCAATCTCCTTCAGTAAGCAGACATTTTCAGTCATAATTGCCATTTCTTTGGAGATTCCAGTGATCTCCCGTTGAACTTATTGCAGGAGATTGTCTGAGAAAAGGTTGAACAGGTTGGTCCTCTACCCAGCCGTATTGAGAAAAGACTGAGAGGTGATCTCATGGAATCACGTAGGGTTAAGTCGTCCTGTTCTTGGAAAGTTAGGCAGTGGATGTATGACTAAATATGCACGTTGGAATCCCGTGAATTCCGGATGCCCAGACCTAAGTGGGAATTGTCTGGGAAGTTTAAACTTCTGACAGGCAGTTCCTGCTACCTGGGACCCTGCATGAATAACCTCTAAATCTGATTTAGAGTTGGAGACAGTGGACAGTTCTGTAGTACTTACCTGAATAGTTACCTAGGGAATGTTAGACAGGTTGATTGTAGTGTAACACCTGAGTAACTCCATAACTGACCCCTCCATCATTGTCTCTGACCCCTGATCACCTCCCAACCCGACTACCCACTGACACAACCTGATTGTGTTGCTTGATCCAGCTACCCCTAATCAATTAACTACATATATCCACGCCCTCCAATGCACCACCCTGCCTCTAGGCACCTACATCAGATCATTCTGCTCCTTGACCTGACAACCACATGACTACCCACTGACCTCCATCTCATCCCAACTAACTCCCATCCCAATCTGATTACCCAACTTGACCCAATTCTATCTCCCCAACCCAATCTAACTACCCCAGATTAGGATCCAACTAATTCCTGACCACCAAAGTGCCTACTGATGTGACCCAACTACCTACTGACCACCCTGACTACTACCTCATCCACATAACACCTCATAAAAACCTACCCACTGACTCACCGTGCATACCCAACCAACCCTTCTCACTCACTTATCTATCTATCTACCTCACCCACTCATCCTGTCACCCACTCACATTCTCAAAACTGGACTTTTAAACTTAGCATATGGCGCCTCGTGCAACTAAAAAGTGGGTGTGTTCAGTATTCCTCTGTCTCTATCCACTCAGACGGAGTTTCACAAGGAGCGCTGTGCTGCACATTTCTTTGACAACCAGGATTATAAGTTTCTGAAAGGAATGTGCAGCAGTATCAGATGGAGAACTCTTAGAGCACAGCCCCCTTCCCTTGGAGCACAGCAGCTATCCAGTCAGCATTGCTTGGAAGATTCAGGCAAAGAAATCCTTAAGTGATTTAAAAGGATGGATGTGAAGAGAATGTTTTTCCCTGCAGCAAAGTCTAGGACTAGGTCTCACATTTATCTAAATTAACTGAGAGGATTGTCAGTCTGTGGAATTCTCTTCTCCAGAACAGTGGAGGTTGCTTCATTGAACATATTCAAACGTGAATTATATAGCTTTCAGATTAACAAGGCAGCAAATAGTTATGGAGGCAGACAGAAAAGTGGAGTTGAGGCCACGTTCAGAGTTTTCATGGTTTTATTGAATCACCTTAAGGGGCTGAATGGCCTGCTCCTACTCCAGATTCTTGTGTTCTTACATGATTACCAAAATATATAAATGCACTCACATAAGAACACTCGGCTTTCAAACATCTCACTGATAGCCCACCAGACACAGAAATAAATAAATAACATCCTGAAAATTTACTTTTGCTTACGCGTAAAAAGACGAGACTGGATCAGATCCATTCTAATGGACCTCTCGCCCCTCAGTGGCAAGAGATTTTAGTTTTACCCTTAAGTAGTGCTGGATTATATCATATTCTTGCAATGGTCCAAACCCCTACCGTCAAGTTCTTATGGATTTTGGGGCCCTGATCCCTCTATTTCCTGCACTCCGAGGTTATTTCCCTATAACCATAGCTATAGAAGTCACTTTGCTTTCAGATCAGATCCCAGTGCTCTCGAACTTACCAGGCCATTCCACAATACTGCTGCTCCCCCTCCAACCTCAATTTCCTGTTCCCTTCCTCAAACTCCTCAATGCTTCCATGGCTTGGAAATATCATTCCTTGTTCGACTCCTGTACGTAGATATCCTTTAGAATATTCACCTACACTATTGCAATAAATTAATGATGCTTTTGGGATGGGACATATTATATAATAAAATATAATTTGGGTTTTTGTTAGGAAGACTATGGGAATCAAGTAATATATATGTCTGTACTAATATATAGGTTTGTGAGATATAGGTCTGTTGTCTGTTATCCTTCAGGCATTACAAAACAATCTTTAAAAACTGAGGAAGAATTTCATTTGTTTTATGCTGCTTTTTATAGTGAGGAAGGGAGTTGGATTTATAACTACATGTTAAAGGCCTAATATTTAACATGTGGATATGTTCAAGTACATATGGTGTGGACATGATCTCAGAAGGGTCCTTATTTATGTACATATACTATTAAGTGTAAAAACCTTTTGGATTTAGCAACAGCATAGTATGTCCTGAATTACTTGATATAATAAGATCATGCATATATACAAACACACAAAGTTGGAGCAGGTGTAGGTCTTTCATCCTCTTGAACCTGGTTGATCTCATCCTTTCTGTGGATTGCCACCTTGCTGTAGTGGAGAGGCTTGAGTGTTCCACTGATCCCGAGAGTGATGTTGGCAGGAGTTCTCAGCTCCTGGCAGCGTCACCCACGACGCTCAGGTCACAGGAGAGGAAACCAGACAAAGCTCAATCGAAAGCAAGTCCTCGTCAGTGATCCAAGTGGAAGGTATTTGTGTGATATCAACGATAGTGATGGTGGATGAAGGCTGCAGCAGTATCGAGGTCCCCACTTGTTGAGGTCTCCTTGCCGCTGGACCCAAACCACCTTCTGTGAAGGACCATGTATTTGCTAACATGAAACAGCATTCCCACAATGGGCGGCATGGTGGATCAGTGGTTAGCACTGCTGCCTCACAGTGCCAGGGACCCGGGTTCGATTCCAGCCTCAGGTGACTGTCTGTGTGGAGTTTGCACATTCTCCCCGTGTCTGCGTGGGTTTCCTCCAGGTGCTCCGGTTTTCTCCCACAGTCCAAAGATGTGCAGGTTAGGTGGATTGGCCATGCTAAATTGCCCGTAGTGTTCAGGGAGGTGTAGGTTAGGTGGGTTTTGGGGGGGGTGGTCTGTATGGGATGCTCTGAGGTTCGGTGTGGACTTGTTGGGCCAAAGGGCCTGTTTCCACACTGCAGGGATTCTGTGATTCACATTAAAAGACATCCTGCACAAAGTCTAGAGGAATTCAAACCCTCCCCGCACCCCCCAACTCTCAATCCCAACACACAACACAAGCCCTGCGATGAGAGGTGATAGGGACAGGATTGTGAGATCTGGAAGTCCATAGCCCTGGAATGTCATGTAGGCGGTGGAGGTAACTCAGTTTTTCTGCTCTAGGAATAGAAGCAGGAGAGCATTTTGGCCGTTTTCTTCACAGTTTAGCAGCCTTCTTCTGGATTTGCTCTGTCCACCCAGTGTGGGGAAGGGACGAGAAAAGGTGTTCTAAAAGTAGTCTGTTCCATCATGAAGTTGGCTGGAAGACTGTATCCAGCAGGCTCATGTAGTCTGAAAATCAAAGTGAAACTCAGTCTTGGAATGTGGAAAATACTAGCCCTTATGGATAACGAGCAAACCAATCATCCAGAATGAAGAACTGCCCTTGATGCTCATGAGCTCAGGCATTTACTTCAAGGTTGATATCGTTGCCTTGCAGGAGACTCAAAGGATAGACGAAGAGCAGCTGAGGGAGGAAGGTTGTGGTTACATGATCTTCTGGAAAGTAAAACCCTGAGGATCAACCTAGGATATGTGAAATTGGATTTGCTATCAGGAATGAACTCGTCAACCGATTCTCAGCACTCCCTGTTGGCATCAGTGATCACCTCATGACTGTGTGTCTGCAACTAGTCAAGAACTGGCAGACAATGGTCATGAGTGCCAAAGCTCCAATCCTCGATACCATTGATGAGTCCAAAGAAAGCTTCTAGTCCACCTGGACACCATCCTCACCAACATCCTGAAGGAAATAAGATTACCATCTTTGGAAACTTCAATGTCAGGGTTGAAAATTACTCCCAAGTCTGGAAAGGAACCATCAGAAGGGAAAGAATTGTCTGTTGCAATGTAACAGGATTCTCCTGCTCACTAAATGCATGGAACATCGGCTGGTCATCACCAACACACTGTTCCATTAAAAAGACATCAAAGCAATTGTATGTGATCGACTACATCATCATTCCTTCCTGAGACCAAAAGCATGTCCTCATTACCAAAGCGATGATCAGTGCAGATGACTGCTGGACAGACCACCAGCTCATCCATTTCTCTATGTCCATCAAATGCCACCAGAAGTAGCTGAAGACAAAGAAACACCTCAGAAACAAAGCTCAACATTGAGCACTTCCAAGTGCTGAACAGACTAATGAACTTCCAATGATGTCTTCACCAAGATCTCCAAAGAGTTTATTTTAATGGAGTGAAGGAAATGTGGAAAGAGCTGA